ATAATACGAAGCAAAATTCATCGGAATCCTGTTTTCTGATTGGTTGCGGAGCGTCGTACGACGAAAATCGGATGCAGTGTGAATCCAGCAGCAGAATCGAACGGCAAATCGATTTTTGAGTGCGAAAAAAAATCGATTCTCGATGCATCGAATCGAAATCCGGCATCACTACTATCTATGCGTTCGATGAGAGAAACGGAACGCACCCCATGAATTAATCCCTTCCATCATGGTCGTAACCGCCGTAACCTCTACCGTACAGATCGGGAGTTTACCGCCATGATCTGACTCGCTGATCGGCGCTGTCGAGGTATCAATATACTGAAGAATTATCGAGTTTCGTAAACGCGATTGTTTACGTCGCTCGGAATGGCATAATCGTCGCCCGAGGAAGACGGCCGTCGCCGTATTCGAGAGTTCCATTGATCGGTCAGAATGGCTCGATGTTAACCGTTAAACAAACCTAAGAAAGGATCGTGTATCAACGTCGTTTCCTTTATCAAACATGTGAGCTTCTTCTGGATTCCTATTGCGACGTCACGCATATATACACGGAGAAAGAGATATCTGCATATACATATATATATAAATAAATATATGTGTATATATATGTATGTATATATAGATGACTGTAAATAATGGTGTTTTGGGCCGTCATTTATTCATTGGCGATATTCCTACGTTTCGGTTCTCTACAAGCAAGTACGTATGCCCACGTTGCTCTAATAGTTTATAATAGATATAACAAATGTAAGTGTTTGTAAGCTTATTTGATATTCCTTAATTTTTCTCCATCTTTTATCAGAGCCGGAGTCGCAAGGTTACTGCGCTCCATACAGCGGCAAGATATGCAAGAAATACCTCAGTGGAATTGGAAAGGTGTGGTTTAACGACTCCAATGACAATCCCGGAGGATGGCTGAATGAGAAGATCACAGCGAACCTCTGGGAGGAGCTGATAGAGACTCTTCTGGAGCCATGTCGTTCAGCAGCAGAGGTGCGATGACCCAAAGTTTTTAAAAACAATTTTATCAATATTGGAGTTAAGGAAGCTTAATAACCGAATAACTACTTACTAAATATTTTTTAAATAACTTTTAAAAAGACTTGGATAGTCTTGAGAAAGATTTAAGATAGTTTTGAGATAACTGATAAAACAAGTTAGAACTGATAAGGAAAAATATTTTTATCATTAATAAATTGCGCTCGTTTTACTAACTAAACTAAGTAAACATCTATAAGAGTAAAGAAAGTCTGCACAAGAGTTAATTCTGTTGTTCCTTGATGGTGTAACATCTCTGAAATTAATCTCATATTGTAGTGGATTAGTTTTATCATTCTTTTGTTTTTTTATACAGAAAATGCTCTGTATGTATGCATTTCCACTGTGCCACGAATCCACCGGCCTGCCTCTCTGCTACGAAGACTGCATGGCTGTACGCCAACAGTTCTGCTTCAACGACTGGGCGATCATCGAGGACAACAAGCAGAGAGACATTTACATTCGCTCACGTGGGCACTTTGTGTTACCAGAGTGCGAGAGTTTGCCCAAAGTGAACAAGGAAACGCCTACCTGTTCGCACGTACACTTGACCGACATGGACGAGGAGGTCGCCACTTGTGAGTTATCGCGTTTAAATAATACTAAAGACATTGGCTATGTTCAGCAGAGAAAGCAGCTTTGCAACTGTTGTAAAATTTTTCAATATGATTGATTCTTGCTTTTGGTTCCTTGTGGATCTAAATGTATAAACCAACCATATTGAAGAATTTTACAACAGTTGCAAAGCTGCTTTCTCTGCTGAACGCAGCCATTGTAATTAAATTACGAAGTATTAATTGGGTAACCGACTTTCGTAGACGATTGCATCAGAGGTAACGGTAGATTCTACATGGGCAAGGTAAACAAGTCTAAATACGGTCTGGATTGCCAGTCGTGGAGCGCACAGATACCACACAGTCACGATAAACCGCCTGACGTCTTCCCGCAGATTCGCCACGGTGAAAATTATTGTAGAAACGCAGGCGGCGACGAGCCGATGCCGTGGTGCTTCACAACTGATCCCTTAACACGCTGGCAACATTGCGATATTCCTCTATGTGGTGGGTACAATCAAAATATACTAAGAATTTTTAGTTAATATAGAGACAATTAATCCATAATGAAATTAATTGAATTAAAAGTTAAGTTAATAAAAAAAGTAATTGGAAAGTTAAAAATTAAATTTCATCCGAATAATCAACCAAAAAAAAAAGAAAAAGTTTGATCATTTTATATAATTTTTCGTATTTTTTCTTTCTTACAGCATATTTATTAAAGAATCTGGTTATTTTTGTTCACAAGTAACGATTGTACAATATAAAATTATTGAATTATATACTCATTATCCTCTCGCATTGTGTCTGAGGATTGACTTAAAAAAATCAAATTAAAAGTTAATAGTTATCGATGAAATGTAACTAAATTAAGTTAAAAAGTTAAAAGTCTAAAATGTAACTAAGTTAAGTTAAAATTAATTAACTTTGTAACTTTTTTACTTAACTTTTATCTTTTTAATTTAGCATTACCCAACCCTGTGTATAACTTGTATTAATAATTTCTCTTCTCTTACGTTAATATAATTGAAACATTTATATCAAACTTTCTTCATTCACTAGCATCACTTTTTATGAAATGTAAGAATATCTTTAATTAGAATATGTTTTGTTTCAACATGATACATAATGGTTGATTTCATATAATAATGTTTTGATATTTTTGTTTAGATAATGTTACAACTAAAGTGGAGATCGAACCAAAAAATATAATGATGGACACCCTATTTAATAACACACTGGTACTCGTACTGTCAGCATTGGGCTTTGTAATTGTAGCTGGAGCGTTATTGTCTATCCTACTGAGTCAAAGACTACACAAACGCCACCGAGGCTATAATCCGACTGATAATCAAGTACTGTTCATCAAATATTAATTTTAAAATATAAGGAAAGAGAAAGAACTAATGTAACTTAAACGTTCCTTCTGAAATTATATGTCTATGTTATTGTAATTTAAATAATCAATCTCAATTTATTGGATACAAAAATTATATATATAATATATATATATAAATTTGGATAATTATTTAAATTGCAATAATAATATGTTGCAATAATAATTGTTTGCAATATTAATATGTTAATAATATAAAGTATTTATTGTTTTGTGTACTCTTTCCAATAAAGATGAAAAGATAGTCTTTTTTTTTTAT